AGGTTGTATAATAATATGCCTATGACTGGCCGGTAATAAAAATTTTGTCTGGATGAATAAAAAAACAACTTGTAGCCTACTAGCTGCCTTTAAGGGCTCTCAAATGAAGATTTACTTACTATATCGATAACTTACTGTAGAATGTATATACAATATACTAATTTTATTCCTTGCATGCTATGTATTTATTATGTACTAATCTTGTTTCTGTATGCATTAGAAGTCATGACATGTCTTTATGTTGCCCAGGTGAAGAGGGGATCAGAACTTTGTGGTATCATTTTGCTTGCTTGTTACTCTATACCAAAGTGGGTGAAGTCTAAGGTAAAACTATGAGCTGTTCAGGTAACATTGAGGGTATTTTCAGTGAGTGTATATAAGACTAAATTACAAAACCTGTACCTTGAGAACAGTGAGGATCACCATCAAGAAATTAGAAAAGATAAAATGAAAGGTAGTATTTAAGTAACGAGTAAAAGATGAAGGTGTAGATTATTTCATAAGAAAGCACTTCTCTGGATTCTGCTTGGTCAAAATATTAAGAAAGGAATTCTTAGGGTATAGAGCATTATATACCATTGCCACAAATAGTTGCTTGTTTTACCATCTTTACAACCGATTCATAACTCAACTGATTCATGACAAATAAATTGTAAAACTCTACAATTTATTTGATTGATTTTGGTTTCATTTGACTATGGCCAATGTGAGTTAACATTAATGTTTTCTTTAAAAGTGATTTTTAAAAAATTAAGTGATTATAGTTTGGAAGACAAATTTTAAAATGTGCCTTCTTAGATGGTTGGTAAAGTATCTTTAGAAAAATGGGCACTTTTATTCATAATTGCTTTATCTTAGCCAATTTCAGCTGGACTTGCTGTAGTCTTCAAGGACAAGTTGATGTCATGCTGAACCATATGTGTTATGCTGATAATCAGCATCACTGGAACTGAAACTCTGCCATCTTTCTTTTGTGTGATTGACCTTGTTATTTTAAAGGTGGCAGGGGTTGGGGAAGGAATTTGGCAAGGCATCCAAAAAATCAGAACACTTCATAGCTCAGCAGTTCATTTTAGACATTAAGGTCAGATCAGGTGCCAAATAACCTGACAAATTTGGAATGAGCAGCAGGACAGCTACCTAGAGAACATCAGAGGTTCACAATGTCACCCCAGCAGCACAAAAAATAGGATAGCTACTAGCAATCCTTTTAATTATTTGGCTGATATTATTTGTAGAGACAATGAACTCTTCCTCTTTACTTTCCAGAGAAAATGTATGGATACATAGCATGTCAATAAACATGGATTCTAACATAGTCCTGAAATAGTTAATGCAACCATTTGTATTGTGAATGCTGATGTGATAGCAAGAAGCTGGGGTTCAAAGGGCAGTTTCTAAGTAGATATATTGAAAGGTCTGTAACAGAAACCCATACTACCTGCTGATGTGCAAGTTCTAACAAGGAAGTTGAGTACAGTAATTGACATGAAAGTCACATAAATCAAAAAGAATTCATTTTCTTTTTATTCAACATTTTTTAAATGTACTATTCTAAGGTCTATAAAGAAATTTAAAAATTGGAAGCATGCTGTGATGTTCATAGATAAGCAATTTAAATGTATAATGTAGAATTTTTGAATTCTCATTTTTCTAAATTTAAGAATAAAATTATCCATTAATTAGATAAATCCCTTTCTATAAAATGAGATAAATGAGCTGGGCACAGTGGCTCATGCCTGTAATCCCAGCACTTTGGGAGGCTGAGGCAGGTGGATCACCTAACGTTGGGATTTTGAGACCAGCCTGACCAGGTAGTAGAAACCCTGTTTCTCTTAAAAATACAAAATTAGCCAGGCATGGTGGTGCATGCCTTTCATCCCAGCTACTCAGGAGGCTGAGGTAGGAGAATCCCTTGAACCCAGGAGTCAGAGGTTGTGGTGAGCCGAGATCAGCTATTGCACTCAAGCCAGGGCAACAAGAGCAAAACGCCATCTCATAAATATATAAATAAGAGCAACAAATAATATTTCACCTGTATTTTTGGATCTACTTCTCCTTTCACATTTTCTTTCCTTTTTTACTTATTCCTCTAAAATATTTTCCCTATTCTTTTATTTTCAAATCAAATCCCAAAACTCAAAATTGTGAAAGAAATATCTACGACAAAATTGTGAGAGAAACTATTTCATTTTCTGCCTCTGGTCCTGCAAAAAATTCTGACTAAATCTAAATATTTAAATGTATTAAGGTTTTCATGAGTTTAGGAAAATGCTGGATTTATCAATTATTGTCCAAATAGCCCTTAATTTTGACATCCCTGAAGCGGTTCTATGATTAGTTTAATCCTACTTGTAGTTTAAAAGAATATGTTGTAAGTTCATTTACGTCTAGAAAATTCATTTCATGAATTAAGTCTTGTGTAACACTGATGATAAAATTTTGCCTGAATTCGTCTCTGTATTTAATTCTAACTTTACTTCTCTGGTATTTTTTGTCTTATCAAGTCATTTATCCCAAATACAATAGGCAATGATCAGAATTCATCATTATTCATGTTAATTTTGCAAAAAGAAATAATTAAAATTCTTTTAAATTCATAAATATTGGTTTTCCCCTTTCCACTTAATTTTTTTTTATCAATTTGCCAATTGAGAAAGACCTGTAAGAGATTGTACTGACTCAGCAACAGTATGAGCGTTGATGATCATTCTAAGGTATTGTAGGCATATATAATTTTACATGCATTCAATGTATGTAAAACATACGAACATTGGAACTCACCAGGTCTGTGTTACTGAGTATAGAGACAATCTCAACATTTTACTTTTTCCAGTACAAACACTGATGGAAATAAAAAGCATCATGCTATGGTCTGGCTACTTTTGTTCTCCAGGGAATACATGGCCTTAGAATTGAACAAATGAGAAATATATCTTTTTTTTTTTTTTCTGTTAAAAGGTTAATGAAATTCTTCATGACTTTTTGGAAGAAAGTTCAGTCTGGGTTTCTGCCAATGTCTGGAAACTTTCCCAGTATGTTCAACTAACCTGAATGATACAAGCCACTTAAAAAATCAATACTGTAACTAAGACTTCAACCAAATGGGTTCTCAAAAAGTGTCTTCATTTAAATGAGTAAAAAAAAAAAAAAAAAAAAGAAAAGCCAAAACAGTGTTAAAAACAGAGTAAGAAAGGGGATTTCAGTGATTTAGTATATTTAATTTTTGTGTCTATTATTCCACCTTGAATGGTTTGAACAGAAAATAATTCTATAAAATAGGTATTAACATATTCAATGCATTTATGAAAAGTCAGAAAATTATTTTGACTCACTAAAATAACAGCATAGAAATAATATCATTTCCTTCTCATCTAATATGTCTGAAATGAACACCTAGAGAGAGAATAAAACCTGTATTGCCTTTACTGCATGTCATTTCTATTTATTTCATGATTTAGGGAAATTAAAATGATTATTTTTTGAGAGATGCAGCCAGTCATGTCCTTATCAATTAACTTGTTAGAATAATCAATGTTACATAATAGTTTTGTTAAAAGCTGTTCATAGAGTGGGACAGTATATGTCACAAATTGCCTATTTGCTAATCTTCTTTATAGACCTTTTATGAATGTATAAAGTATATTGAATTCAAAATCTAACCAGTTATGGCTGGGCATGATGACTCATGCCTTCAAGCCAAGAGCTTTGGAAGGCTGCAGTGAGAGGATTGCTTGAAGCCATGAGTTCAAAACCAGCCTGGGTAACACAGCAAGATCCCATCTCTACATTTTTTTTTTTTTCAATAGCTGGGCATGGTAGCATCTGCCTGTAATTCCAGCTACTCAGAAGGCCAAGGTAGGAGGATCACTTGAGCCCAGGAGTTCCAGGTTACAGTGAGCCATGATTGCACCACTGCTCTCCAGCCTGGGTGACAGAGTGAGACCTAAAAAATAATAATAATAAATTAAAAAATAGTTATAAGTAGCATGAAATAATTATATCAGGTAATCATCAACATTAACCCCTTTTAATCTGTTACTAGGATGGCTTTAGAGTGGGTGAATCATGTTCTCAATTTAGGGTTCTACCAGAAGGTATAGCTTCCTTAAGAGATAAGTAAAAGCTGTACCTGTATTCTGCCAATTTCATCTCATGTATCAAAAGTATCCAAGCATCTATCCTCTCATCTTATTTATGTTTCTAATGAGACATTGCTGTTTTGCTACTCTTATTGAACTAAGCTAGAGATAATTTGAGTTCATTAATTCGCAAACTCACAGATTCTTAATATCATTTTTAATATGTGGTTGATTATTACACTTTTTTTAAGAAACAGAAAATTTCCTAGTACATATTTAAATGAAACTAATCAGACAGGCAGATTATAATGCAAATTAATTGAATTTCAGAATCACCTTTAGTTTCTCTTCCCTTCATCCAATCAAATGTAATTTCCCCCGATCCTACCTCTTCAATATCTCTAATATGCATTGATCATTTAGTATTTTAACAAACATTTATTAAGCCCAGTAATGTCCCAAGGTGTAAGATGGATATGGGAATAAAATACAAAGTATTAGCTCCTTTGGTTGTTAAAGAGTTCATAGATTACTATGTAAAACATATGAAAATGAATGGAAGTGCTAAGTACAGTAATAGAGATAGGACAGTGGTTCCGCAGATAATACCTATTCAAGGTCAGGCCCTATGATTATAAAAAGCAGAAATTCCCCAAAACGTCTCAAGAAAAGCAGATTGAAGTGGGGAGTGGTATAAATGTTTTAAGTAATTGTATAGAGAAATCAAACAAGATAGCAAGCACTAACTCAGTAGAAATCAACGGGGCTTTAATAGGCGAGTTATTCTGTTCAAGACAGCCATGAGAGACCATAGCAGATAAAATCCTTGAATCTTCCCTGTAAAGTTTTGCTTTAATGCAACTCGCTTGAACTACACAAATTTGCTTCTGTCTTGCTACCAGTATGTACTGTATTTTCCTCTTTACCTCTTTACCTTCAAATTCTGTAACATGAAAAAGTAACTATTTGGCAAGGCTCAGCCTCTGGATGGACTCTCTTACTCTTATTCAGTTACCCACTTTAATCCTGTCCCATGAGGTACAGAAGTGTGGTATTGGCCATCTAGGTCCATATATTCAGCAGCAGAGATTAAAGACAGGAGGATCAGGTAAGCTCAGCACACCAAACACACCTGGTGCAATATGTGGCACCAGGTATGTTGCACTTCCACTGCTATCCCTGAAGTTTAATTCTTATTGATAGACTATTGTAGTAGCATCCTGACTTACTCTCTGAATAGAGAGATGGACCACAAACTGGTGGTCACGTAAATCATCTACTTATTTTTATAGATGTTCTCATGGCACTTAGTTTTTATTTCGATCAAAGTATTGCTTATTTATAAGTTTAACTATAATTAGAGAAATGGAGGAGAAACAGTGTTTCCCTAAATGTTTAATGAATGAAGGAATAAGTGAATAATTGAGTAATTAAAAAAAAAGACTGACCTTGTCTTGCACATAAAAGACATAAAACTTTTGTTGGAAGTTGAAATAAATAGAATTTTCATTAGTTAATGAACTCAAGGCAAAAGAATATCCAACTTTTATAGAAATCTGTGGAAGGATAGGATTCTCAGTTGCCTTTTGCTGTAATCATTGTCACCACCAATTTGTGAAAGAAAGACAATAAATGACTGGTGGGACACATACACAAACACACACACCACAGAAAGTACAAACATTTTCTGCTTAAGGGCAAGTCCTTTCTCCTTACCCTTCAGACTTCAAAATAAATGCATGACCATAAGTGAGTGCGTATGACTCACATGTAGCAAACACTCAGCACTTTTCTTTGGACATTTTGCAAGCATCGTTTTTCTGATTTTCATTGCAATAGGGGCATGTCTTCACTTTCTTTCTTGAAAAAATAGCCTAGATGTCCTATAAAACTACTAATAATAACTTTCAAGTTCCTGTTGTGTTTTGTTTTAAGCCTTGGAATAAAATCACTAGGATAGGTGCAAACACTCATAACTATTATGGCTAATTGCTTGCATACATGGGAGTTTTTATACTACTCTCTACTTTTTGAGTGTTTACAATTTTACATTGGAAAAGTAAAATAAAAAGTGACAAAAAGTAAACGGCATTAATTACATTTTTTAAGGCCTAGAATTCCTTCTATTTCCCCTATCTTGTGAATCTATCAGTATTGTAGAAGGATTTGCTTTGAACACTTATTACTGAATAACTCATTTTGTATTATCTGAAGATAAAAATGCATATTATCTTACCATAATCTTATGAGAAAAGACTAAGAAAATACTGGCGAAGCAAGGAAAGCATTGATAGATACTACAAATCGAGAGAAAATTTTATAGAAATAAAAATAACCATATTAATCTCTGAAAATTACTTTAAAGGCTAATATGCACAATTCTATCCTGCAGTCCAGCCAAATGATACCTCACCTTATTAAATTAGACTCCTGAAACTGCACCCATAGAAATAAAGATGCTCACATAAGTTAGTCTGTTTATTTTCCGCAACACTGTGACTTCCATAGCAACCACACACATAGCAATTGACTTGATTTTTCTTCTTTCTAGACTTCTTTTATTTTTATGTTTGTTTATAAAGTATTTATTGAAGATTCAAAGTGTGAAAGGTTCTGTTCAATCACTAGAGATAGGTGTGTAAAAAATACACAGTTCTTGCCTTTACTAGCACACATTCCACTTGGAATGCAAACACCAAAATATAATCAAAATAAAGTAAGCCATTTCATAGAGATATATCCCAATGCTAAAATAAAATGAAATAAAGATACGGACTGAATAACACTACCTGCAGGAGTTGGTGGAGACATGGCAGATGTGTTAACATTTATGCAAGAACTTGAAGAATACTGTAAGTCTGTTTGCTCAAGCGGAGATCTGGGGAGAGGACTGTCCTTTGAATGATGATTTCTAGGTAGTGAAGTGTGGGAGAAAGAAAGCAGAAAAATTAGAGAGTGGCAACTGAAGAGTTCAACAAAACAGTACTTAGAAATGATACTGAATAAGGCAGCAAAAACAGTAAAGAGCGAATGTACACCAGAGAAATATAGTGATTAATTTGAAAGTCTTAGCACCAAACTAGCAGCCACAGATGTATGTTTGAAATCTTTTGTGTGCAGTAAGCACTAAGGTGTTACCTGGTATTTGCAAAAAAAATTTTTTTTTTTTTTTTTTTTTGAGACAGAGTTTCGCTCTTGTTACCCAGGCTGGAGTGCAATGGCGCGATCTCGGCTCACCGCAACCTCCGCCTCCTGGTTTCACGCAATTCTCCTGCCTCAGCCTCCTGAGCAGCTGGGATTACAGGCACGCGCCACCATGCCCAGCTAATTTTTTGTAGTTTTTTAGTAGAGACGGGGTTTCACCATGTTGACCAGGATGGTCTCGATCTCTTGACCTCGTGATCCACCCGCCTCGGCCTCCCAAAGTGCTGGGATTATAGGCGTGAGCCACCGCGCCCGGCCTGCAAAAAAATTTTTAAAAAGAACTATGCTTATAAACCTGAGGAATATAAATAAATATTTCCTAGATATACATATTTTCATGAATTAAATATTGTTAGCCTTTGTAAATCTATACAATATCTATTGAATGACTAGTGTAAATTAAAGATCTTTCTTGCAAGAAAGTCAGGTATATGCAAATATTACAAGAGAGAATTTTAAACTAATTGATAGCAGAGTGTCGGCAATTCTTAAAAGAGCAGGTATGGTCATATATGAAAGTTCCTAAAGAGAAAATGGCAGTGGGGGAGTCAATATGATTATTGTTTTCATTGTGTAACATATTGAATTGTTCATATAAAGTCTATATCATTTTATACAGCATTTTTTTAAACAACAGGGATTTGGGTGGCAGTTTGATTAACTTAAGAATAAAGACAGTCATCATTTTTTATGGCCTTTATATATTCTATGGAAGATTGGATCTTCATTTGCTATTACTGTTTATAGGATTTATGCCATTAAAGTCAACCCAGCTGTTACCAAATCTTATTCTAGGAATAAATGCTAAGACCTTACTTGAGAATCAATTTCATATGTGGCCTCAAATTTGTATCTCAAATTTGTATGTTCTTTTCTTTTTCTGAAACTTTTAATTGTTGCTCTTCAAGGAAATTGAGTTTTTGTTTCAAGTACCATCACTAGTTTAATTTTAATTTCTTTTATATTAGTCCATCTATTATAAACACAATATACTTATGTAAATTGTTTTTATTTAGAGACTAAAAATTATTATTTTTTTATTATACTTTAAGTTCTGTGGTAGGAACAGACACTTCTCAAAAGAGGACACTCCACATCCAGGTATAAAAATCTCTATTAGTTTGCCAGGGTGACCATAACAAAATATCACAAGCTGGGTGGCTTAAAACAAGGGAAATTTATTCTCTCACAGTTCTGGAGGCTGGAAGTCTAAAATCAGAGTGTCAGTTGCTGCAGGTTCCTTCTGAGAGCTCTCAGAGTCAATCTATTCTATGTCTTTTCTTCAGCTTTTGGTGAAAGCAGGAAATCTTTGGCATTCCTTCATTTGTAGATATATCACTCCAATTTCTGCCTCGGCCTACACATGGCATTCTACCTGTGTGTCCCCACGTTGTGTTTTCTTTGTACATCACTGCCTTTGGGTCTCAGTCTGCTTCTTCTACCAGTCATTGGTATTAGGGTTCACCCTAATGACCTCATCTTAACTTGGTTACTTATGCAAAGACCATATTTTCAAATAAAGTCACATTCACAGGTGCCAGCGTTAGGAATTCAGCATATCTTCTTGGGAAACACTACTCAATTCATCACATTGGTATATTAATAAACTGTATGGCATATGAGAAGGTGTTGAATATACATACTACATTTTCCCCTCTGCATTAGGCTGAGGTTATGTTCATTTAACCAGAAAGCTTACAATGAAATGGAATTTTTCAAAGTGTATTCTGTGAAGCACTGGCCCGACAAAATTTTGTGTAAAAAGACTCTAAAATCAAGGAGATTGGTTTTTGTTTTATGAAGCATCTACCTTCTTTCTTTATGCTTCGCAGTGTCTACTAATCCATTGAGGATTATGAGAATTTTGTAGTTAAAATAAAAAAGTACACATTTTCAAAAGAAATTTGACCATAGTATTCTTTTAATCTTAACACTTTCTTCAAAGCTATTATATTACTCAGAAAATAATAAAACCCTACAATAAAATCATAGAATTCTTCCTCCTCACTGGTTCTGGGACATGTTTGCAAGGGTTAGCCAAAATGGAAAGCAGAATTGACTCCAATGTACAGTGGCCAAGTTGATTTCTTATTATTGATAGTTGTTCAATAAAAGTACAGATATACTCTGCTGTTGGGCTACCAGAGTGGAGTCCAGAATTATCAAAATCTGTATCTCAAATCCATACGTATTAATTTTTAAAATTTAATAAACAAGTAATAAAAATGTGAAGGTTCATGTGGCAGTGTGAAAACACAGGCTCATTAGGAGGCAGTGCAAGATTCTTATATGGATTTTTTTTAATAAACAGTCAACAGCTCTTGGGTCATTTCATGGTCACTTTCTAGAGGCCCGGGTAATACTGGCTGCTCTAGTGTCAATGACTACAGGAGCCAAAAGAGCTATATTATGCACCTACATTCAAGGAAGTAATTACCAGAGAGAAAGGAGAATAAGCAGGTAGGCAGAAACAAAGAAGTCAAGAAATTGAGCACCCAATTGTCACAAAAAGGGAGGAGGACAAGGACAGGAAGGCGGCAGACTTCCCACCCCTCCCCTCCAAAAAAAAACTAATATAAAGTGAAGATGCTTTATCACCTTCTCATTATTGCCTTGGAAAAACTGAGCAATACATAGGCAAAGGGGTGTTTACTGGGTTGAACCTGTAGTACTCTCCAATGTTTGCCTATGGCATTAATGTGAAGAATCTTTCAGTAAATGGAACACTCTTTCTTTTACATATCTCATATTTACCACGAAGCCTCTGGTAAATTTGGGTGTGTTTCTGCAATTAGTCCAGGCATCTCTGATATTATTTACAATCATCCCCACTGCTTCGCAATATAATTCTTCTGAATTTAAATGTCGTGTTATAAATATTTACTCTGCACACCTCTCTGCCTTCAGTTTGTCTTGTGCCCACAACTTTCCCTATGTAGTTTATTCTTTAAAAGATAGAAAGAAAAGCATCCAGCCATATCTCTAATAAGGATTCCTCCACCTGAAGCCTAAAGGCAGAAATAAGATCCCTGAAATATAGGCTCTTAGCCCACTTGATGAAGACACTTCAAGTCTCAGGACAATTAGTATAATGTTCCCAACTAAGCCTACTTAAACACTGAGTTTTCCTATTATGAAAGAAAAGTTTTGGAATTTTCTGATCCATAGTCAGACCTCTTTATCCATTACACCAGTGGCCCACATCCTGGCTGATTAATTCTGAAGCAGTCATTTAATGAAGCTTTATTTGGGGGATATTAGAAGGTTTGTTGTTTGTGTCTCAAAAGTCCGGCTTTCTATGCAAGCACACAGTTGCAGGCAATAAAACACTACCCATTCTAGTTCCATACTTTCCTCATCCATTTCCCTGGGTAACCTAGGGTGTGAAGCACATTTTGAAAAGAAGGAATCATTAAAATGGCTGATAATTATCCAAAAGCTTACCAGTTTTACCAGTCTCTGAAGAAAATCCCATTAAATCAGGCTGTGTCCCGTCTCCCCAAATAAAATAAGACCATACACCAGAGGCTTATGAGAGCTTATGATTTCAAGGTCATTAATTAAGCATACACCAGGTGAAAATGTTTCCCAGAACCCTCTCTTGAATTCACATTTATTTTGTGTTAACCACTCTCCCTGGCATGGCTTCATACCACATCTAGAGGCCATTTAAACAATATTAAGATAACAACATTAATTCACTGTTTTTCTGTTAATCATATAGAAGCAGATCAGCTTGTTATAAATAATGATCTTACCTTGCCTGAAGCTCAACTCTTAACACTTGTTCTAATGCAAATCCCTCTCCTTTTGTACTAGCTGCAGAGTAATAGCTTTTAAGGCTGTGCTCTTGTTTCTTAGGTTTCAATACTGTTAGGGAGGGAGAAAGTGGCTTCACTTTTAAATTTGAATAGGATTGCTTTCCAAAAAAGTGTGAGGAGGAGGACACAACCTTTCTTGACTTGCTTTGATCAAAAGCATCATTCTTCTCTTTTCCGGTGATGATTACTGAATTGAGACTCAAGCAGCTTGTCTGACAGATGATGTAATGTGTCATAACTTTTCTTTATCTGCAAAATAAGTATATCGTATTGGAAAGTCAGGAAGTTTTGTCAAGGTTTCATTTACTTTCACATTTGGCTCATACTTACTGGAGAGGAGATGTAGCTACTCCATTCCTAGCAGACCATAGTTAAAACATTTCTGTCATTTTATACGGAGTGTGTGAATTTCTCAAGCTGGTGGAATAAAACAGGCAAATGTGCAATTGCATTCTAGTGTCTAGAGATCCTTCTTTGCTCACTTGTATAATTAGGCATCACTTTTAAACAACTTTCTGCATCCCCTAGGGGACTTTCAGGAATATAGGAGGTGGCGTTCCAGTAAGCTGGTGCTAATGCTGCAGCTTACTGCTAACCAGCTGCACATCCAGTCAAATTCAATCCAGTACAATGTATCCTCTTTAAAAGAACTTCAAAATAATACAATTATAACCTGAGAGTGAAATAAATAGGCAGTGTGTTCCTGATCTCAGTGCTCTGGTTTTTCCTTCTCCGAATCATCGGCTTTGCATTCAACCAGCTTTTGCCAAGTGCCAACAACATACCTGTCGTCACTCTGAATGTCAGAAAATGCTGAAGAAAAAGGCAGACTTGCTCCCTGACTTTGTGGAATTCCCAGCCAAATGTTGTAGAAATCACTAGGCATTTACAATCAAGTAAGAGTAACCATGAAGTTATGCGCAGGATGCAATGAGGGGCCAATGAGGGGCCTGCCAATTTAGAAAGGGCAGAAGAGGTTCTCAGGGAAAGTACTGGCTGCCCTGACATAGGAAGATCAAAAGCTAAGCTCAGGGAAAGAGGTCAGAGAGTGGCAAGGGGTTGTAGATAGAGAGAGCAATTTGGGCAAACATGTGGCAGCTAAAAAAAAGCATCGTATTCAAGGGAAACACAGTTTACAATGGCTACATCACAGTGAGCAAAGAATAATGGAAATGGGGTTTCTTGATAGGCTGTATCAAAGAAGAGGTTCATTACTTTTTTGAATTGTCAGTTTCAAAGTTCAGAGAGAGCTGCAAATAGCTAATTAGCCAAGAACGTACTAATTACCAAATCTTCATATCAGCTACATAATAGAATTTAAATGATCTGTCCCAAAATATCCCTGGTATAGAGACAATAATTTCACCATTAGATATTCATTTATTTGGCATTTTAGTACTGTACTGTTATTGACCAGGACATACATTAGCTAGTTTTTGAATATATCATTTTAGTGTGAATTACTTTAACATATATTGTTTCTAACATCAACTATTAAGATTAGATTGTGGAAAGACTGATGAAAGCAAACAGAGGAATATTTAGGTAGAAGACATGTTAGGGGAATTGCTCCAGGGAAAGGCAGAGCTGTGTGGGCACCTGGAAAAAAAATCATTAGAGAAAAAAAGGGGGGTTGAAAGAAAAAACATTCGCTGACAGAAGCAGTGGAGTATTAGAGCTCATTTTTGAACCACTCATGACAGTTGATTCTGAAATTTTTATAAATTATGAAAGCTGACTGCTAAATACAGTCATGGCTTAAAAAGGAACAATATAAGCATACAATTAAATAAATTATATTAAAAACAAATATTCAAAACTCTACTTTCTATTTCATTTAATTATTGTCTTTGTTATTTAAGACTGTTGTAATTGCACATTAGTGTGAATGACTAACATGAAAATATTGTGTTAGCAATAAAGTTACTGATAATTAGTAGATAGTAAACATACACTATGTCTAAGGATGGATTCTTATTTTCTTTAGAGATCACTCCCCATGTTTTCTTTGGAGATTACTTCCCACATTACTCTCTTAAAAGTGGAAAGTAATATAAGGAAATACTACATACTAGTGTTCTTCTATGTATCTCATGGCAATTACGTTTGTAACTTGAATTTGGCCATATCAGGAATATTTATACCACAAAAATTAGCAAATAATAAGTCCGGGTTTCATTTATTGTTTTGTTGATTGTCCATTGTTGATTTAAGACATTAGTGGATTTTTAAAAAATGTTAAAAATGTAGATTGAACTTAAAATGGTATCACATCGGCTGGGTGCAGGGGCTCAGGCCTATAATCCTAGCACTTTTGGAGACCACACCTGAGGTCAGGAGTTTGAGACCAGCCATGGACAATATGGTGAAACCCCATCTCTGCTAAAAATACAAAAATTAGCTGTACATTGTGGCGTGCAGCTCATCCCAGCTGCTTGGGAGGCTGAAGCAGGAGAAATCAACTGAACCCAGGAAGGGGAGGTTGCAGTGAGCCAAGATTGTACCACTGCCCTCCAGCCTGGGTAACAGAGTGAGGCTCCATCAAAAAAAAAAAAAATTGAGAAAATATTATTCCAACATTAAAGAACTGCTATCCAACTCAGCAAAGAAATCTCTCATGTCATTGACGAACAGGTGAAATCTAAAATATATTCATTATTACATTTTGGTAAAATAAACAAAATTATCAGCCAACTTTTATTTTGAACCCATGCTCCTTCATCAGTTACATAAATAAGTTGGCTACTAATATGAGTTTAGCAAAATCAACTGAAGTACTTTGTGAGAATCAGCTGACTATAGAGAATTTACAATAAAGCATACTGTATATAGGATTACTATTTGTTATTAATAGGCCATATATCCTTTATATCAGTAATATTTATAATTTTAATGCCTATATTTTTTTTCCATAATGTTGGTTGTGAAACATTTACTGGGACACCAGTGAGTAACAATAAATAAAAGTCACATATTTTACAATTTTGCCTACATTTAGCCTTTGTGTGAGGGTTCCTTCCCATATCATTCCTGTGAGCATACTCAGTATTCAGTGTTTTAACTTAATGTCATTGGACAGTGGTGATCTGGATCTCTCAATACTCTGCTCACCATAGCAAATATCGGAGAAGCTGTTCATGTGATGAGCTCTGGAATATGAACCATTCATTTAACATGACCTTGTGTACTATTGTTCCCATTATCACCAATGGCCTTTTGTGCTATTTGGAGCATACATAAATGCTCTAGTTTTTGGAATGCTTCTCTAGGGAAAATCTGCCAAAAACCATGCAGTGTATGGCATTGAGTTTTATTAAACAAATTATTTCTTATTCATTTATTTAAGACAGTATTGCTTTCTGTCACCCTGGCTGGAGTACAGTGGCATGATCCCAGGCTCAAGCAATCCTCCCTCTTCAGCCTCCTGAGTAGCTGGGACGACAGGTACACAACCATGCCCAGCTATGTAGTTTTTATTTTTAGTAGAGATGAGGTCTCAGTCTGTTGTCCAGGCTGATCTAGAACTCCTGAGTTCAAACAGTCCTCTTGCCTCAAGCTCCCAAAGTGCTGGAACCACAGGTGTAAGCTACCATGCTTGGCCTAAACAATTTATTTTTAATTGATCACTTTGTCTTTTCTCTACTGAAACTTTGGGACAATATGTTGAAGCTAGTGGAAATGTTTTGGATGGGAGATCCAACTTACAGTGAAAATAAAATGAGGGGATGGAGTAGGGTGGAGGCTGGTCTCTAAGAAAATAGGAATCTATCTCTAGAAATACTGCATGGCTACTATCTACTAGAGATCAGTAGCTTCTTTCTAATTATTGTTAGGTAATGGAAGCTGAAGGATGTGTCACAAAGCAACCCGAGTCTATTTGTTTTGGTTAGAGATGACTTTGACACAAATAGCTTTTACGAAAGTGAAAGCCATTGGCTGTTCTTTGTTTTAGTGGGAGTTATTTGCAACAGGCTTTTGTATAAGTTCTAATCCAGAGGTGAGTATGCATTCACTTCTGTCTGTGTTATGAGAAATGTTAAGAAGGATTGTCTATTAATCTTTGTTTTTGTCAAAAGAATGTATAGTTAAAATTCACTATCTTAAATTTTGTAAGGGTATGAATCAAACGTATGCATTCCACCGAATACCTAGTGCTTAGGTGTTCAAAAAGCTGGCCACACAGAAGGCACTCAAAACATATTTGTTGGAAGAAAAACAAGAAAGAAGGGAGGGAGGGAGTAAAAAGGTAAGGGAAAGTAATACGTTATATAGAGTAAGTGTAAAGGCATAAAAGTCAGATGTAATCTCAGCAGTAAAATGTAATAATGGCAATACTGTATTACTAATATATTCCTCGTATAGTTTGCTAGGACTGTCATTACAGAATAGCACAGACTGGGTGGCTTAAACAACAGAAGTTTTTTTCCTCACAGTTCTGGAGGCCAGAGGTCCAAGATCAAGGTGCTGGCAGGGTTGATTTCGCCTGACACCTCTCTCTTTGGCTTGTACTCAGCTGGCTGCTTGCCGTGTCTTCACATGGTTTTTCCTCTGTTTGCATACCCTCGATGTCTCCTTTTATGTCCAAATTTCCTTTTCTTCTCAGGACACAAGTCAAATTGTATTAAGGCCCATGCTAAGGGTCTCATTTAGACTTAATCACCACTTTAAAAACCTTATCTCTAAGGACAGTTACATACTAAGGTACTGAGTTTAGGGCTTCAACACAGGAATTTTGGGGGAATACAATTAAATCCATAACACGTTTCTTTCCAGTTTAGTTTCCAGGCTATTTTTCATTGCAGAATTGACATGCAATTTTTAAGCATTGGTTTTAGCTTAACGTTCTATATTAAATATTTTACTATCCCAACAAAGCTTTGAAAACACTAATATAAAGCTTAAATAAATATCATTACTGGCATACATTTTTACCTGTTACTTCATTTGGCCCCAGAAATTATTTTCAGTGTTGAATCTCATAAATAATAACACATCTATCAATATTTGTTGAAAATTCATATTACCTTTTTAAGATTCTTGATGTTGTTAAGGGGTCACTGAAGTTAGAAATAATGTGATCAACTTTATTTCCCATGGAAGAGCATCATGTGATGTGCCTAAAAGAGCTGAGAAGAGGAAAGCATTTCTTCTCTAGCATAGCTGTGTATAAAAGACATAAATTGTTCCAAACGTGTACAAAGAGCCATTCATAGACTTTCAATGAAATAATATCAGGCATGAAAGTTATTTATTTGGGCTCAATGGTTTGTTTTTTTCTTTTGCATTTTACTAAACTTAATTGGACCTTATTTTTATAATAAAAATGAAAGCAGCTGAATGATAGAATGGCTTAAAGGAGAAAAAGAGGGAAAGAAAAACATACATAACAGATAACCTTTTGACATTGACTATGAGGATAGCACAGTCTATATATTCTGTCTGATGCTCAAGGAAAAAAAATGCTACTTCTAACTTTGTGGCTGAGGTGACCTTTCCAAAGTCTTGGTTGGTATACAGAAAGTGTATTTTTCTGTTTAGCAGTAGCAGCAGCAGAAAATGTGCCTGGCCTTTACCTGTGTGTTTATGGTGGCAGAGCCCAGTGGATCATGTAATGGGCTGAGTATTAGGCTGCCAGTTTCAGCCCAGCTCCAGGCTATTCTGCTTAAAGGGACCTGGCTTGAAGCCTGGAGTTCCAGGTGGTCTTACCTGACTTAGCTAAAGAGGTGTCAGGCATTTAATTATCCCATAAACCTGAGAATATAGAGGAGATTCAAACAGGACTTATGTAATTCTGCCCCATATTAGCCATGATGAATCCACTCAAATAGGACCTTTCTCAAAAGGAAAAAAAAAAAAAAATCTTAAATTGGGTGTCAGCATTTTTTTTGTACAGGGCTAGATAATAAATATTTCAGTATTTGTGGGCCACATATGTCTCCAGTCAATATTCTTCTTTGTTTTTTACACTCTTTAAAAATGCAAAACCATTGTTATCTCAAGCAGCATACAAAACAAGCTATGGGCTGGATTAGCCTGTGGGCCATAGTTATCTTTAGTCTGCCAATTTGCACAAATAAATATGGCAAATCCAGTGTGCTCCATAGTGACACAGGATTTTTCTCAGTCATTTTATCAGCCACGGACCTCTGGTTGGCAACAATGCCACCTGGGTCATGCTACATGCCTCAGGAGACTACTCGCCCACTCTGCCTGTCTGGGCTGTGCCTGGCTCGTTCACTGGCTCAGGCCATGGCTGGTCTGGGTGTACCCCAGCCCACCTGTGTTATGGCTTGTACCCGAGTTCCAGGGTTCCCAAGTTATCGTCCCACATTCAAGAAGAATGAGGATAGGCTGACAATTGAAGGGTAAAGAGGATGGAAAATAATTTTATTGAGTGACAGGACAGCTGTCAGCAGAGAAGGGACGTGGGGGTGGTCCCCCACCTGAAGCCACGTGGATTCTTTCTAAGTGTGGCTGAGCCCAGGGTTTTTGTGGCTCAGAATAGGGGAGTGTGTGCCAATTGGTTTGTGAGTATGCAAAAAGGCTAAAACAAAGACACCACTCAAAGGTGGGCATGAGAGCTTAAAACACCAATTAGGGAAAGGTAGATATATGTAAAACAGGTGAAGAGTGAGGATCAATCAGAAGAAAGTATACTAAACAGGAAGACAGGTTCTCAATCCAGTCTGCAGATGTGACTTGTAGCTGGGCTTTCAGGCTTTAAATTGTCTTTGGCTTGAAGGTGGGGTTTCACTGGAGACCTACCCCTCTCTGCCTAGGATTATCTGCTTCCTGTTTCTATGAATAATAGTATTTTTTAATCCCTTATTTTACCATATTTATCTTAAATTATATCCCCTGTACACAGAGCTTGCTTCATGAGGAGATCTAACTAGAGAACACTGTTATAACATGACATAACATTTAACAAGTTTTGATATTAGATTATCTGTCTTATCTGACCAACTATTTTGTATGATTTATATAAAATGTATACAATAGTTTCATTCAAAGGTTTGCTGCTGTAGTAAATGGTGTTAATCCCTTTCATAAAAAATGACATTTCCATGTACCATCTATTGACCATCCATCAATATACACTTCACACACAGAAGTTCTTTCTTAGTTGTTTGCTTTTGGTAACATCTCATACTTAAGTACAAGGTATAAAACTGTATTCATTTGAATCTTCTGTGAAGAATTAGGAAGATGTAATGCCATTACATCCCTGGAATCTAGCCAGGCTCCTAAGGCAATCTCCTTACAAAACTGGGTCTTAGAATCTATAATGACAATTGTTGGTTAGAACTTCAATGTTAGGCTTTTTCCTAAAGAAAATACTTTTAATTAAAGTGCTATCCTCAACAAGTTTTCTTCAGAATATGTTATATGATTGCTTTTCTAGATGAGTTTTGAGAGAAGAAATTAAACTGAAGTGTACCTGATGAAAGATCTATCTTTTTAAGTAACTATGGTTTGCACAATTACAGACTTAAAGTAAGGTGTTGATTCACAGTATTTTACTTAAAAGCCTCAAATATGAAGTTTTAAAGTAGAATGTATTACCTACTGATCACTTATGATATTACAACATTGATATATTAGCTACTATATATATCAGTCCTGTAAAATATATAAATGTGATAAATTCTGAATGATTCCACTATAACTTTTTGAGACAGAAAAATTCCCTTTTATCTGTATACCCTAATACAAGATATAGGCAACCTGAATTATGGAAATATGAATTGGCCCAAGGAACATAAACCTCCCGGAGAACAAGCACTTTTCATGTAGAACATAGGATTTACTGAAGGATTAGTAACTACTTAACCTTTTACAAAAACACATGCATACACACAGGCATATTCAACTGAATTATGTTACTATCATAATTTATTATTTTATTTCATCGACACAGCTTTTCTATGAAATGATTGGTAACTCTAGGATACCACTTGTTTACCTCTTGCCTTCCAGTGTGAAAGGTGTAAATAATATCCTTGGATTGTATTCACGTAATTTACTTGGGTGAGTCAGATGCTGATCTTGCTTCCCGGAATCTAAGAGCGACACAGCTATGCTTAACTTTAATTCAGGCCAATCATAAGCCATCACATTCAGTCTAGTTTATTTTGTGTCTTTTATCAGGAAAAGAAACATTACTTTTCTGGAATTTGTGACACAATTAGGTAAATCTCAATTTATGCATTTCCAAATATATTGAAATCAGTGAGATAATCTGTATTCAGTGCTTGTTACATATAAGTTTCTCAAACATTTACTGGCATCGTATCTACATAAAAACAGGTAATATTAGCATTAATTAATTAGTTATGAGGACTGTCCAACCTCATGTTAATCTCTGATTGTTTATATTGTCACCTGTAGATTGGATGCAAAAATTACCTTTTAATGTAAAAACAGTTAATGTGGGAATATTAATAGGTTTAGGCCCTGCCCATTATTGCTTTGAACCTGGGAATATTAGGAGAAAGCAATGAATCCTGGCAAGCAGAGGAGAACTGAACGAGTGCAGAGCCCAAAGTATTCTCTTAAGGAAGATTTTTTAGGGAGTTTGGAGTGAAAGAGAAATATTTTGAGAACAGCTGCTTTAAAAGAGATGAAGAAACAGATTTCAGGAACTTAGCAATACATTGCAAATATGATCCCTCTTTATAATATTTTGAGAGGATTATGAAATGTTTAAGTTACTTTCTAAATATTGTTTAAATTACTTTCTAAATATCTTTGCATGTTTGAGTTGAGCCAACATAGAACTGTGAGTATCCTTGACTAATTATACGTGGATTACATTTTGGGAGGCAGTCTTTAAGTTTCAGTACTCAGCTATACTTCAAGTAAAAATCAATACCTCAAAAACATATTTTTAAGCTGGTTACAACCTCACCAGACTTGTAGTGCAAAGGGTAAAGGTTTACCCTACAAAATTTTATGCTTCTCAGAATACTATTGCAGAGAATCACTGAAGACTATTCAGAGACCTAATACAGTTCCTTATGAAATTGAAAGCTAGAAACTTATTCCACCTCCACAAATACAGACATTCTTAAATTGGAGTTCTTGGTGGATGATAGAGGGCATGGTAGCTATGTTTAGGCTAATTCAAGTCATTTACTCTGCTCTGGTAACAGAGATTTCCCTGGGAATTTGGCTGTTATTCCGAGTAGAACTGCTGACACCAGGTATTTGCTATTAAAAACTTGAGAAATGTGTGTGTAGTTTCTTGTAGAATATTAAGAAAATAGTGCTAAGGCAGGGCGCTGTGGCTCACCCTGTAATCCAGCACTTTGGGAGGCTGAGCAGGCAGATCACTTGAGGTCAGTAGTTCAAAACCAGCCTGGCTAACATGGTGAAACCCTGTCTCTACTAAAAATACAAAAATTAGTTGGGTATGATGATGCATACTTGTAATTCCAGCTACATGGGAGGTTGAGGCACAAGAAGGGCTTGAACCTGGGAGGTGGAATTTTCACTGAAACTAGATCACTTTACTGCACTCCAGCCTAAGTGACAGAGTGAGAATCTGTCAAGGAAGGGAGGAAGAAAAAAGGAAGAGGAGGGGAGGGGAGGGGAGGGGAAGGAAGGGAAAGGGAGGGGAGGGGAGAGGTGAGGGAAGGAAGGAAGGAAGGAAGGAAGGAAGGAAGGAAGGAAGGAAGGA